GGGGGGGGGGGGGGGGGGGGGGGGGGGGGGGGGGGGGGGGGGGGGGGGGGGGGGGGGGGGGGGGGGCATCGCCGTGCCGACCAGAACGCGCCGCGGTTTTCGCGGAGAGCCAAGGCGCGGTGGAAGTCGTCGGAGGCGAATTCCCACGAGATGTGTCAGCACAACGGCACTATTTACAGCACACAAACACGATTACATTTAGTAGAGGCCGCCCAATGGGGGCAGGCGAATTCAAGACAACAGTAGGTACCACACCTGTGTGCTGCCAAGGGTCGCCCGACAGACGGGAGCGACGGCAGAACGATGAAAGGGCGGTCAACATATCAAGGCCAGGAGACCAATACTGGCGGTGGCTTGACTTCACGTCTGAATCCATCGCAGGCAGCCATTGGGCCTGCTCCTAGCTTAGCTTCTATCAACGAAAACAATAACGCTCCGCGTGCGAAATATGCTTCCAGCACCCAAAGCAGCGAGAAAGGACATGAGCGAGCAAAACAGGGAACAAATGCTCCCTTGCAACATACGGACATGCGTCGAGGGTAGACGTGGGTGGTGGCCGCCACGGGTCACAAGCCCGCCGTTACAAGACACCGCATAAGCCGCATAAGAGCGCGTAGCACCCACCGATAAACCGCTTTCTACCTGTTGCTGCTCTGGTTCAACAGAACCAAACAACAGAAGCAAAAAACAAAAAAGGAGGCCACTCGCCTGGGATGATGCATGAAACGACCGCGACGGGTCTGCGGATCCACAGAAACCCCGTGCAAGCGGCATGTACCATGGCACCATCAAAAGAGGGCTGCTCTCTCACTCTTTGTTCGGTCTTTTTTATTCTTTGGCCTTAGCTGCTGCGAAATAGTTCAGTTTTCAGCGGTTACACTTGTCGCGGGAGGGCGGGCGAACGGAGCCGATCTCGGAGCTCCGCCCCGACCCGCTCGCGCTCTCTCTCGCTCTCTCATGTCTCCAGCGTCAGGGATGAAGTCCCCCCCCCGACGCCGCCACGCAATTTGCTTGCGCGAAGACGGCTGAGAGGCACGAACGAGGGCAACATGCAAGCACATCCCCTCCATCGCCTTTCTACCATGACAGCGCGTAGTCTACGAAAAAACAGGACGACAGTATGCAAACCGCGTCAACCCGTTGAAGGACGTACTGTCACGTAAGCAGCGCTGCTTGGTGGGGGGCGGCGACGCGCGCGCCAACCGAATAACACGCGCGAAAAGCGAGGCACGTCCTAGCGCTTCCCGTGCCTCTAGGTACGAATTCTCGACGCCGTCGGACAACGCCACGCGAATAACCAGGCGTTCTCGTCCGTCACCGTGGTGGAGTTTTCCAAGTCAAGGTTGGGAGAAAAATTCCACTGTTGTCGGTAGGCTCCTTCAGCCCCAGGGCTGGTGGAATTCTGATCTCTCTACCGCAGCAGCGACGCGCACGCAAGCGAGAAGAAGGAAGGACCGACACACACACCAGGAAACTAACGAAAAACTGACGCCGAGCACACACCACTGCTGTGCGCAAAAAACGGGCGTGAACGGGGGCAGGGAAAGGGGGGGCGGGGGGGGGGGATACGGGGCGAAGACTAAAAGCAGCGGCATGCGCGAAGGTAGACACCGCATGCAGGCGGGAGAGACGCCGACGAGAGGTAACGCTACAGTAGCACACGAGAAACCGTCCCGATCGAAGAAATCGATCCGACCGATCCGGGGGAGTGTGCTATCATAGACTAACGAACGCGCTATGGAGCTCAAACGCCGCCGGCTTTCCGTGCTGCCGCGGCGCGGCCGAAGCGTCACCAATCATTCAGCCTGCACACGGCAAGCTCCCTCCCGCCGTCTTTCCCATATTTAGTTCGCCCAGACCGAGCAAAACGTTCCTGTCAGTCTCAGCCTGAGACAGACCCGACACAGGGGAGGAGAAAGGAAACAGCACCCGCAGCGCTGCATCTCGTAGCGGTGATTCGCCCTCTCCTGTGCCACCACCGGGCGGCTAGGCCGGTAATAGCCGCTTTGACCCGGCCAGCGAAGATACGGAACGGATGTCCACTCCGTCACGCGCGTCGCGTGCCAGACCTTTGCTTTATTTGTTTTCCGTTGGCTCCGCAACACACTACGGTAGCAACAGCCCCCTCACGATTTATGTGGTTGCGACTTGTTCGCCATCTACCGACCAACACTGTTCAGCTGTTCAGATGCTGGAGGTTGGGAGGGTGCGACGAGGTTCCTTCTTTCCGCACCATATCTGCATTCGTGCGGCCTCCCACCATACCCTTGACCACAGACACCGGTGTGCGGTTGTCTACCCCTCCTCTTTCCCTCCCACCCACCCAGCAGCGGCCCACATATACGAGGAAACGACCAAATATGAAAACAGCCTGCAAACAACCAGTTTCGAATGTGGCCGAAACTCGCCCACTTGCTGCACGTCTCCACCGGACGCGCGTAAATTGACGGGAAAGGTGGCGCGCTTCGACTATTTTTCTTGTGCCAAGACCCCTCCCGGGCGGGTACACATGCAGCAGCCGCTGTGCAGACAACATCAGGGCTCATCAATATATTGGTAGCTTGTAAAACACAACAATGAGGGTTCGAACCGTTTTCAAGGTCTAAAGTCTGATTGGGTGGTTGTGCACAAAGGTGGCAGGGGGGGGAGGGGGATCGTTGCGTTGTTGTAGTTTTACTACAACCGCTCAACGAGGCTCGAACGCTGTCCAAGCGGTAACAGGATGGGGACAGGAGGGTATCTCGGTAGGAGGGGGGGGGGGGGGGGGGGGG